CACATATGGGTGCCAGTGCCAGTGGAAGGTTGGGCAGGCGAGTCCCAAGGTCTTCAGTAAATCCACATGGTGGCAGTGATGGGCAGGACAGGTCTACGCTTAGGCCCCTGAAAGGCATACATAAGTGCCAGTGGTGTCAGACAGAACAATCCCCAGGCCCCTGGAGGGTATATGTGAGTGCCAGTAGTAGCAGGTGGGGCAGATCAATCTGCCGGCCCCTGGACAACACGCATATACACTGGCAGCGGCAGTTGGGGTGAGTTGACCTCTAGGCTTCTGAATGATGCATGTGGGCACTGGTGAAGGTGGAGATAGGCAGGTCTGGCTTATCCTCATGACTCCAATGGTGTTTGTGGGTGCCACTTGCAACAAGCAGGGTGGATCTATCCCCAGGTCCCCAGACAGCATGCTGGGGCACTGGTGGTGGTGGCAGTGGACAGGTCAGGACCATCCTCAGGCCCTCAGATGGTGTGCATGGGCACTGGCAGTGGTGGGCAGGGCAGGTGGATCCCTAGGCCTCCAGATAAAAAATGCATGCAGGCTCCACTGGTGGAAGCTGCAGGTGGGTTGAGTGTAACCTCAGGTCCTCCAATGGTGTATATGGCCACTGGCTATAGTGAGTGGAGCAAATTGATCCCTTTGCTCCCAGACTCATTTTTTAATTAGGTTGTTTGGTGTTATTTTTTATTGCTCAGGTTTAAGTTTTCTGTGTATTCTGGATATTAATGTTTTATCAGATATGTGATTTGAAAATATTTTCTTCTATCCTGTGGATTATCTTTTTCTTCTGTTCATAGGGACTTTTGAGGCACAGAAATTTTTAATTTTAATGAAAGCTATTTTTCCTTTTGTTTCCTGGGATTTTGGTGTCATATCCAAGAAATCATTGCCAGATCCAATGTCTTGAATATTTTTCCCTATGTTTTCTTCTAAGAGTTTTATTGTTTAGCTCTTAACATTTCAGGAATTAACTACTGATAACACCCAACAACTTGGATGGATGCTCAGTTAAATAGCCACTTTCAAAGTGTTGAATACTGTATGATTCCATTTATAGAACATTTTAGAGGTAACAAATTATAGTAATAGAAAACAGATAAGTGGTTTTCAGGGGTAAGGATATGTGGGCAGTTGTGAATCTTAAGTGGTAACATGACGGAGTTTCTTCTATGTGATGTATTCACTCTTGTGTTCTGGTTGTGGGGGGTAATTACATGAATCTACACATGTGATAAAGTTTTATAGAACTATGCTAAATAAATAAATAAAAGAGTGCCTGGAAAAGTTGGTGATATCTGAATAAGGTCTGTACCCGAGTTAATGTTGTGTCAGCATCAATTTCCTAGTTTTGACAATGCGTTAGGATTATGTCAGCTATTCCCATTGGGAAAAGCTGGGGAAAGGGTACTTGGAAACTTCTTGTGAGTCAAACAATTTTGAAATAAAATAATTTAAAATTCTATTTTAAAATCTCTTCAATGTTTGGCCATTGTACTAAGAATAAAATCTAACCTATTTTGCAAAGCATACAATGCTTAGCATGATGTAGCCCTTTCCTGTCTCTTCTCTGACCTTATCTGCTTACTAGTCTCCCCCTTCTACTATACATGAGCCATTACTTCCCTGTCAATTCCTCAAGCATAGTAACTCCTCTTCCACCTCAGGGACTTTGTAACTGTTGTTCCTTCTGTCTAGAATTCTCTTATCACAGCTGTCTCATGAAAGATTCATACTCTCCTCTGGATGGTGAAATTTTTTTCATTATTTGTTCAACAAATATTTATAAATGCAGGTTTGAGAGGCAAAGCCTCAAGGCAGAAGTGTAGTTTTGAACATACTGCTTTGAAGTGCTTCTGAGACAACTGGAAGTCACGATTAAAAATCTAATTAGATCCTCAGTCTAGAACTAGATATACAGTTTGGGATCTGGCTTACAATTTGATGAGTTGTACAGGAATTGGATGATACTTGAAGCCATGTTAGTGAAATGAGATCACGTAGGAAGAGAATATACTCTGAGAAGAGAGTAAGGCCAGACCCTGGGAACCACTAATAGAGCAGGAGGGAGTGATAACCAAGCCAAGTTAGAGTGTTTCAAATGGGAAGATTCATCCCATGTATCAAATGCTGCTAAAAAATCAGGTAAGATCAACAGAACTATGTTTATTAAATTTAACATGTATAGCCATATGTTGATGATGTAACTAGAAAAATACTATTAAAAATAATAATCCTATTTTTAATACGATTATTTTTAGTAGCAATACTATTATAATATTTTGAAATACTATTTAGTATATTTTAAAATACTATTTAAAAATAATAATATCGTAATAATAATACCAAGCATGGTATCTCACACCTGTAATCCCAGCACTTTGGAAGGCTGAGGCAAGAGGATTGCTTGAGCCCAGGAGTTCAAGACCAGTCTGGGCAACATAGCAAAACCCCATCTGTACAAAAAATACCAAAATTAGCCAGACGTGGCGGCACACACTTGTCATAGCTATTCGGGAGGCTGAGGTGGGAAGATTGCTTGTGCCTGAAAGGCAGACATTGCAGTGAGCTGTGATTGAGCCACTGCGCTCTAGCCTGAGTGACAGAGTAAGACCTTGTCTCAAATAATAATAATAATAATACCACAAACATTAGCAGTAATATAATGAAACTTGTTCTGTCATAGATCACTAGTAATAACATAAATTGGTATAATTCTTTTAGAAATTATTTTGGCAATATGTATCAAGAGAGTTTTGTTTGTTTGTTTTTAGAGATGGGTTCTCACTCTGTTACCCAGGCTGGAGTGCAGTAGTGCGATTATAGCTCACCGTAGCCTCAAACTCCTGGGCTCACATGATCCTCCTGCCTCAGCCTCCTGAGTAGCTGGGACTATAGGTGCACACCACCATGCCAGGCTAAAAGGTTTTTTTTTTTTTTTTTTTTTTTCTTTTGGAGACGGAGTCTCTCTGTTGCCCAGGCTGGAGTGCAGTGGCATGATATTAACTCACTGCAACCTCCACCTCCTGAGTTCAAGTGATTCTCCTGCCTCAGCCTCCCGAGTAGCTGGGACTACAGGAGCCTGCTACCAGGCACAGCTATTTTTTGTATTTTTAGTAGAGACAGAGTTTCACCATGTTGGCCAGACTGGCCTCAAACTCTTGACCTTAGGTGATCCACCTACTTTGGCCTCCCAAAGTGCTGGGATTACAGGCGTTGAACCACTGCGCCCAGCCTAAAAGAGTTTTTAAAGTGTTTATAACTTTTGACCCAGCAATCACACTTCCAAGAATCTTATCAAAAGAAATAGTCCTAACCATAGAAAAGACTGTGTATCTGATGATGTTCCTAGCAATAATATTACCAATAGTGAAAAAAATAAAACCACCAAAATGTCCAATACAGGAGTGTTAAGCAAATGATGGTAATTCACTCAGTGAAAAATTATGCAGACATTGAAAATGATGTTTATAGACTGAACATGAATATAAAACAGTAGCCTGTACTTGGTAAATCTGAAGAAAACACTAATGTGGTTTTTGCCTTTTTGATAATTTTTATGGGTTAATTTTTTCCATATTTATAAAATTATCTTTAATGACCATGAATTACTTTCTTAATCAAAAAAATATATTTTTAAGCTTGTTTATATGATTATATTAACTTTTTCTTGATATTTTTCCTACAATCTTCTTATATGTGTTATTTATTGTATTTTACTTCCATCTTACTCTTTGCTACATTAAGAATGCTTCATTTACTCTTTGCTCAGCAGTTATACAAAAGGTAGTTGTATTTAAAATTCTGAATAGTAAATATGATTTTCAGAAACAAAATTAAAATATCTATTATTATTTATTAGGCAAACCTATACTTCTCTATAAAAATCATCAAATAGGCTGGGTGCAGTGGCTCATGCCTGTAATCCCAGCACTTTGGGAGGCTGAGGCAGGTGGATCACTTGAGGTCAGGAGTTCGAGACTAGTCTGACCAACATGGTGAAACCCTGTCTCTACTAAATATTAAAAAAATTAGTGGGGCATGATGGTGCATGCCTATAATCTCAGCTACTTGGGAGGCTGAGGTAGCAGAATCGCTTGAACCCAGGAGGTGGAGGTTGCAGTGAGCCAAGACTGTGCCACTGCATTCCAGCCTGGGCAACAGAGCAAAACTCTGTCTCAAAAAAACAAAAAAAAAAAATCATGAAATAAGTATTCTTCAGGAAAGGCCTTCCTTGACCATTATTCCTACTTCCCACAATGGGTTCTACTATCAGATAATCCCTTCGCCCCTCGAATCCCTCCTTACTGGCACTCATGATAACAATCTTAAAGGTTCCTTTGTGAGTGGATGCCATGTTTTTAGAAAGTTAAACAAAAGCAGTATTAGAGGATTAGGATAAAATTCTAGACTAGCCCTCATCATCTGATTTTTTAATTCTAGAAATTTCCCATAGTAAAACAGTTGCTTCTGTTCTAAAAGTACCTTACTAGGAATAATTCCAACTCAATTCCCCTTCTCCTTATGTATCATGAGAAAAAGGGAGCTTTTCAGATCGATCTGATTTCTAAGAGCATTTTTCTTAAAGCCTCCAGATATCGTTTGAAACCTGCCTTGAAAGAATATGTCATTTCGAAGGCAGGCTCACGTAGAAAGAATTCTAACAGATGAGTTTTAGAAACTCTACACTGTATTTCATTGAGATTAAAACTAGGGTTATTTATTTAAGTATTCCCATAGTTTCAGTTCATCCAGGATTCTGATTGTGTGTAGAGATTTTGACGAGTTGGAAACTGTATTGTGACTTATTTATAATTCATTAAGTTCACATGGGGAGGAGGCTATAAGGTGGAAAGAACAAAGCTGAATCTTGAGCACACAGTAAATTTACAAATGTAAACAATATCTTAACCACAATAACAAATTCAATATATCATGGTGTCATATCAAATTACTTTAGCTATGAAAATAATAAAAAATGAAATTTTATTTTGTTTTTACAGAATTCCATAGTACTGAGCACACAGATGGCCACACTGGGACAGAAGCCTGTCATACATACAGTTCTGAAGAGAAAAGTCTATGTATCAAATGAGAAAATGAAAAAGGGGTATTTAATTTTTTAAATTTTAAATATGGAAATATGAAAACTTAAACTAGATTTTAAAATCCTCGTGGCACTTAATGGAATATGTCTTATATGTTATTTTCAAGTGCCTTTTTTTATAAAACACAAAAAAATTGATAATCGGAACTAATTACTAACTTAGAAAATGCTAGACTCTTGGATTAGAGTTTTACAATGTGTCCATACCTAATCCTCAATCCAAGAGCGTCATTTGAGTTGGTGGCAAATCCTGGAAATATCTCAAAATGCGTCCTGCTGGTTTATAAAGGTCAACCCCGGTGGTGTCCAGTACCCACACACACACACACACACACACACACACACACACCCCACAAATTCTACCTGAGAGGCAAGATACATTACTGTTAAAGTTAGTAGGTTATCACGAGGTATAGACAGACTTCCTTAGTCTATTAAGCACCTAGACACAGGGCAAGGTGCTTTTAACTAAAGGATAAAGTACCTGCCTTCAATAATCTTCCATTTAGTGCGAGAGACAAACAAGAAACAGACATTATATAGGAGTGAGGCCAGGGTGCAGAGGAACACAAAGAGGGCGCACCAACTCTGGCCTGGAGGAGAGGGAGTCAGGGAGGACTTTCCTAAAAAGGGGACATCTGCATTATTGAAAAGAAGTAAAACCTAGCCAACTGGGGGAGAATTCCAAACATAGGAAATGACAAACAGCAGGTCCTCAAATAATGTTCATTATAACATTGATTAGAAAAAACTTGATTCCCTGTTGGGGCCACTGCTGTGTGGAGTTTGCATGCTCTCCCTGTGTCTGCGTGAGTTTCCTCCAGGTATCCTGGTTTCCTCCCACATCCCAAAGCTGTGCACTTGAAGTTCATCGGTGTGTCTGCGTGGTCTCAGTTGGAGTGAGTGTGGGTGTGAATGTCAGTGTGCCCTACAATGGGATGACGTCCTGTCCAGGGTAGGCTCCTGCCTTGAGCCCTGAGCTTCCAGAATGGGCTCTGGCCAACCACAGCCCTGAACTGGAATAAGTAGGTTAGAAAATGAATGAATGAATGGATGAATACAAACTATCGTAAAATAAAAATTTGTAAAGTAGACAAGACTATGACATGACAATAAACAATGCTGTAGGAAAGCGCTCAGAGAGCCACCATATTTGTGATTGTTGAGTTTTGAACTGTGTGATGGTAGAAGGTGTTTCTTAACAATTTGGCAACATTAATTTCTTGATTTAAGCCATCGCTATGATCGCCCTCACTCACTGATTCACCAAGAGTTGGGTAAATAATTACCTTACTTGTGAGCCACCGCACCTGGCCGTAAGAGTTCTTTATATTCTAGATACAAGTTCTTTATCAAACACATGATTTACAAGGATTTTCTCCCATTCTGTGAATTGTCTTTTCAGGTTCTTCATGATATCCTTAAAGCACAAAAGTTTACATTTTTATGAATTCCTAATTACTTATTTTTTTCCTTTGGTTCTGTGTGCTTTGGGTGTCATATCAAAGAAACCGTTGCCAAATCCAAAGTCACAAAGTACCACACTGTTTTTCTTCCTATGAGTATTATAGTGTTAGCTCTTACATTTAAGTCTTTGGTCTGTTTTGAGTTTATATTTGGCCTGTATTTGCAGTGAGTTCATTTTGTGGTGGGGGTCCAAATGAATTCTTTTATATCTGGAGATCTAGTTGTCCCAGCATAATTTGCTGAAAAGACGGTCGTTTCCCCCATTGAATTGTTTTGGCACTCGTTGAAAGTCAATTAAGAGTGAATGTGACAGTGTATTTCTGGAATTTTAAATTCTATTCCATTGCCCTACATATTCATCCTTATGCCAGTACCACACTTCTCCCATGGATCTCTGCAACACACGATCAGGAGATGCCCTTATGAGCCCGTGCCACCAGGGCCTTGGGTCCAATACACAGAGCTGTGTGGAGTCTCAGCAGAGCAGCCACTCAGGCACACACAGAGACCCAGGAGTTTTACATACTCTGGACCCGGGACCCCTGCCAAGGTGGAAAATTTGTCCCTACATATCCCTAGGAAGGGGGCTGAATCCAGGGAGCCAAGCAGCATTATTCGGTGGGCCCCAATTCCACAGCACCTAAGGAAAAATTCTAGAAAAATGTAAACCGTCAAAGTTGACCCAAAAAATATATATAGAACTTGAGTAATGTTTTAACTGAAAAGAAACAATTATTATTTAACAATCATTGAGGAGAAGAAAGCACTAGCACAGATAATTCCAATCCTAAACAGTGAGTTGAAGTCATTAGCATACCCAAAATTCAGGCAAGAGCTATGTAAGAAAGGAAAATCATAATCATAAGCTGATCTTGTTCATGAATGTAGATGCCAAATCCTGAATAAAATATTATCAAATAAATTTAGCAATAGGCCAGGTATAGTGGCTCACGCCTTTAATCCCAGCACTTTGGGGAGGCCAGGGCAGGAGGGTTGCTTCAGGCCAGGAGTTTCAGACCAGTCTGGGAAACAGAGAGAGACCCTATCTCTATACAAAAATTAAAAATTAGCCAAGTGTAGTGGCATGCACTTGTAGTCCTAGCTACTTGGGAGGCTGAGGCAGGAGGATTGCCCAAGCCCGGGAATTTGAGGCCACAGTGAGCTATGATCTTACCACTGTACTCCAGCCTAGGTAATAGAGTGAGACCTTGTCTCTAAATAAATAAATACATAGCTCCAGTAATATATATGAAAAATACATGATATGTGATCAAGTTTATTTATACCAGAAGTGCAAGTTGTGTATAATATTTTTAAATGTTTTAATGTAATTTATTACATTAATAGCTTAAAGGAGTAAAATTAGATGATCATCTCAATAGGGACAAAATAAAACTTTATTTCAAAATTTTTTTTACTTCCTGCTTTCCTTGGCTTAGTAAAAAATGAAATAAAAAATTTTTAACCTCATACTGTATGTAAAAATAATCTCAGATGAATTAAATATGTACATATGAAAGGCTAAACTGAAAAAATTTAGAAATATAGAATATCTTTATTGTCTCAGGATAGTGAAGGATTTCTACAATTCAAAAGTTACTCAAACTATGCAAGTAAACATTTGATAAATTCAGCTCATTAATGAATATATGACCTGATGTTCAGCCTCATTAGTAATCAAAGAAAAATATTAATAGCCCAATGAGATCCATTTTACATATACCAGATTGATAAATATATTAAAGTTTTAGAAAGTCATTGGTGAGGATATGCAACAATGGAACATTAATGTGGATTGCTGATGGAAGGGTAAATTGGCACAACCAATTTGAAAGAATTTTACATTATCAGGCAAAGTTAAAGATGCACATCCCCCATGGTTACAAGCTCAATACCATTATATACCCTAGAGAAACCATGCACAGTTACCTAAGGAGATGTGTAAAATAATATTTGTAGCAGCATTGTTTGCAATTGCAAAAAAAGAAGAAGAAAGAAACTTTTAATTTCCACTCATGGAGAAATGTATAATGAAGAAACCAAACATGCCTATTACTAGTGGTTTAACTGTAAGTAACAGAAAACTTGATTAATAATGGTTTAACAACAACAAAAAATTTTTCTGCTGCTTAAAAAGAAGCCTAGAAGTAGCTAGTGGTTAAGGCCCTAGGCTTTTTCCACCTTCTTCTCCACCATCCTCAGTGTTGGCTTCATCTGTGGCCTCATGGTCACAAGATGGCTGCTGAAGCTCTAACAGCACAAGTCTGCACTCAGTGTGAGAAAGGCGGGTGACAGTGAGTGGCCAACGTAGCAAAGAGGACCTTTTCCTTAATGATGCTATCGTTTTGTCAGAAAAGAAAGTAACTGCGCTGGGTGCGGTGGCACATGCCTGTAATCCCAGCACTGGGAGGCTGAGGTGGGCGGATTACCTGAGCTCAGGAGTTCGAGACCAGCATGAGCAACATGGCAAAACCATGCCTGTATGCGCAAAATACAAAAATTAGCCGGGCATGGTGGCACACACCTGTAGTCTTAGCTACCTGGGAGGCTGAGGTAGGAAGAATGCCCAAGCCCAGGAGTTTGAGGCTGCAGTAAGCTATGATTGGGCCGCTACACTTCAACCTGGGTGGCAATGAGACCCTATATCAAAAAGAGAAAGAAAAAGGAAAAGAGAATAATTTCTTAGATGTCCTTGTATATCTCATTGGCCACAGTCGGTTATATGGCCAATTCTAGCTACCAGAGAGACTAGGGAAAAAAATCTGGCTTTTCCGGCCTATACAGTGTGAGGCCAGCAAAGACAAGGCAGTGCTTTTCAGTGGCGCTCACCGGTTTCTACCACAGCAAAATCACCTGCTGTTCAACCAATAGATTGGCTTCGTCTTCTTCTTTTCTTTCTTTCTTTCTTTCTTTTTTCTTTCTTTCTTTCTTTCTTCCTTTCTTTCTTCCTTTCTTCCTTTCTTCCTTTCGACAGGGTCTCAGTCTGTCACCCAGGCTGGAGTGCAGTGGCATGACCACAGCTCACCACAACCTCAAACTCCTAGGCTCTAGCAGTCCTCCCATCTCAGCCTCCCAAGTGGCATGTGTCACCATACCTGGCCAATTTTTCCACTTTCTGTAAAGACAGGGTCTCCACCTGTTGCCCAAGCTGGTCTTTATTTTTTTTTCTTCAACTTTCAAGTTGAGGGGCACAGCCGGTTTGTTATATAGGTAACATGTGCCATGGTGGTTTGCTGCACAGATCATCCCATCACCAAGGCATTACACCCAGTATCCATTAGCTATTCTTCCTGAGGCGCTCCCTCTCCCCATTCCCCCCAACCAGCAGGTTCCCTGCATATGTTGTTCCCACTCACCCCACCATGTGTCCATGTGTTCTCATCATTCAGCTCCCACTTACAAGTGAGAACATGCAGTGTTTGGTTTTCTGTTCCTGCATTAGTTTGCTGAGCGTAATGGCTTCCAGCTTCATCCATGGTTTACACCCCTGGTGTAAACATGCTAACAATGTATACACTATACAACAGTGAAAATAT